ATAGAGTCCCATCTCCGAAACGTCGTTTTACGTTTTATATTTACTAGACGATGGATAATATCCAAGAAAATTTTTATTCATATGATTCTTTAAATCAGAAATTGTTAGAGACCTAACAATTCCTTTTTATGCCTAATGTAGACGTCTTCTGTATAAATGTATGCTACTTTCTTATTCAAAATTGTACAATTATTTGTTAAATCATGATTTTTCGGTATTTGATATGTCTTATTAAAAAAATAAAGTCTGAATGCAAACGACGAAGATTTATAAGATTCTCAGGCCTGATAAAATGACCCCACGGGTCGTACTTTGTACAGTCTTGATTTAGAAGTCTAATGCGGAGACAGAGGATAGGGTATAACAGTAAAAACAACTGTTGTACTAGATAAAACTGCTTGTAACATTGTTCAATTGCGTTGTAGATTTTCAGTGGTGACGTGGAAAGGAATCTCACTCGAGAAGCCATCAGTTTCTCCAAACAAGAAATTCCTGGTATTTTATGGAATCCGAAAGTTCACAGGAGACCACGTAATGAACTTATTTGTAAATTAATAACAATTTCTGCAGTGCGTAAGCACCAGGAGACATAATTAATTCAGTATTTTTTTTAAGAGACGTAAGTCTAAAATAAAATTTCTTTCGGAAATCAACTGATAAGATTAAATATTACATACGTTGGCAGCCATGCGGAGGATAGAAATGTAATTGTAAAATATAAAGTTTGGAATATGTTGTGCTACTGAGTGGAAGATCGTTTTGTTGATTTAAATAAACAACAGAATTAAGAACCGCAATGTTACCTGTTTTAACGCGATTAAAATGAACCTGTAATGGAAAAGTCATGTCTGTCCGTGTGTTTCATCTCCAAACCTACTTCTTTTATACTTGGTATTGGATGAGTGTGTGTGGGGGATCCACTCTAAAAACTGGTAAAGCTTGACGGCTGATACAAAGATTCCTACATTCCAAAAACATAAGCGTATAAATGTAGAATCTCAGAGGCAAACTTCCCTGTCTTTCGTCATAGAACGTATTTCTAGATTTACTCTTAAAAATTGAATTTTTGGGAAAAAATATCTAATTAGTTATGGTAGTTTTGATACGAATTTCTTGTATAAGGCGTAAATTAATACTTAGCTGAGTGGTTCCATGTGAAATTCACGATGCCTCGCTGTTACAGATCTTTTCTTCGCTAACTACAAGACAAAAGAAATTCTCTATTGTGGGGGTAGCCATTTTTGAAACTAGTGGCATCTAGCGGAGGCGCGCAATAACAACAATCACTCGGGTCGTTTGAAACAAAAGTATGACGTGAGCGTTAAGATCGAAGTGCGTTGAGACAAAAGAAATTCTCTATTGTGGGGGTAGCCATTTTTGAAACTAGTGGCATCTAGCGGAGGCGCGCAATAACAACAATCACTCGGGTCATTTGAAACAAAAGTATGAGCTTTTTCTCCATCGACTGGCGTGAGCGTGAAGATCGAAGTGCGTTTCATTTGTTATCCGTGTAATTTTGAAAGTGTTAAGATTCTTTTGAGATCACCCTGTATATTATTTTTAAAATATGTCGAGGTAAAATTAAGACTTTTGGTTTATGTTTAGCGGAATTAACTCGCGAGTCGAATAGAGCAGTCTGCATGCGGACCATGGGTTTTTCATTACTGATCTACAATATTAATTAAAATTATTATACTTAACGAAATATAAGCAAAAGGTGAAAGCTGATATGCAGAGTTCAACAAATCCACTTGTCTTATCGTCAGTGACGAGTGTTAAGTACCAAGATCGACGAGTGGTGTCCTATTTTACCTTTTTCGTCGTAGATGTCAAATGGAAACTTTATTACTGGCAGGATCATAATGACCTTTGTTAACGCGACACTGGCGTGGATGAGGAAAGCATTAGAGTGAAATATAATTCACAGGTTGGCGTTTTTCTTCGCAATGTGGATGATCGATCTCTCGTTGTTTAACATCGACCTTTTCGATACGTGTTAAATGCATATAACTGCCGATAGTAATGACCCATCCCACCTCTCCACTGCGCAGGTCAGCTGTAATCAGCTGTTTACCAACAAGAATTGTTCATAACGGTTTCTACTGCGAAGTAAATGTATGGTGATTACAATTTTGTCTGTCAACTGAGCCGACATTGATCTCTGTTTCCTTAAGGGCAGGAATTTTTTTTTATAAATTTTGTGATAAATTTGCTATAAAATTTTGCTCCCTACGGAAAGGCAGGGGGGTTAAAACATGTCAGATTTGAAGAAGATTGTGTGACCTCTCGCTATCGTAAGGAGCTTGGATGATGTAATAAATTCCTTAATAAAATCAGATAAAAAATGAAGACGTTACTAATTAACACAATCATATGTGAATGTTATTATATAAATGAAAGTGCGTATTATAATTTAACTTTCCTGTATATCAACTGTGGGTACAATGCTTGAAGTCACCCGGCATGCCTCGCGCCAGCTAAAAGAGGAAATGTTGCTTATAAAAGCAAAAAGTTTAAGTTGTCCGCGTGTTATCTAGTATCACACCATTGAGATGTATTTCGAAATAGAGATATAGATACAGTCTTAGGAAAAATGGCGCCTTGGGCGAACAAAACCAACAGTCCCCCCCTCCCGTACACACAAACAGACCAATTTTGTGAAATTAACAATTTATGTGTAAGTGATAATTCGCCGAAACTGTTTCACACCTTTGTTTGATTTATTTTTATTTAATTACGCGCTACCAAAACATCCCAAAGGCCAATAAACAAAAACATTGACAGAGGATCCACGGTTCTTATGGTGATTACAATTTTGTCTGTCAACTGAGCCGACATTGATCTCTGTTTCCTTAAGGGCAGGAATTTTTTTTTATAAATTTTGTGATAAATTTGCTATAAAATTTTGCTCCCTACGGAAAGGCAGGGGGGTTAAAACATGTCAGATTTGAAGAAGATTGTGTGACCTCTCGCTATCGTAAGGAGCTTGGATGATGTAATAAATTCCTTAATAAAATCAGATAAAAAATGAAGACGTTACTAATTAACACAATCATATGTGAATGTTATTATATAAATGAAAGTGCGTATTATAATTTAACTTTCCTGTATATCAACTGTGGGTACAATGCTTGAAGTCACCCGGCATGCCTCGCGCCAGCTAAAAGAGGAAATGTTGCTTATAAAAGCAAAAAGTTTAAGTTGTCCGCGTGTTATCTAGTATCACACCATTGAGATGTATTTCGAAATAGAGATATAGATACAGTCTTAGGAAAAATGGCGCCTTGGGCGAACAAAACCAACAGTCCCCCCCTCCCGTACACACAAACAGACCAATTTTGTGAAATTAACAATTTATGTGTAAGTGATAATTCGCCGAAACTGTTTCACACCTTTGTTTGATTTATTTTTATTTAATTACGCGCTACCAAAACATCCCAAAGGCCAATAAACAAAAACATTGACAGAGGATCCACGGTTCTGGAGAATCTGACGTAACTGCGCAAACGCAGTAGTAGCGCGAAGTGAGATGCTCCTTTATTTGTATAAATAAATGTTTGTAGAACCTAAACCGTTTGTGATATATAAAATCTGAAAACAGATATGCAAAGCTCAAGACGTAATACGTATTTCGTACGCAATATGTCCAGATCCATCTCTTACGGTTTTCGAGAGGCGGGCGCTTAACGTGATGAACAATAATAATAAATAGGAATCCCTAACCTCAAACTTTGTTCAATTGTAAGAGACCACGACGTCCACCCGCAATGAGCAATTTAATCAAAACTAAAATGGAGAGAGTGGAGGACAATAGCACAGATTTCTTAACAATTCTTATATAAGACAAGTACCTGTGATATTCCAAAACGTTTTTACCAGTACAAAATTATCTACTCTACGACGCACTTCTTCTACAAGCGATTCACAGCAGAGCTCTTTCCGCAATAACGAAAGCGGATTGTTGACGGCAGTAATGAAACACAACAATGTCGAATAAACAGATAACATAACAATTACTTTCTTTGGTAAAGGAGTAAAGCTTTGTTATGCACGCAGGAGTTCATATAAAAACTGACCATTGTCGGTCCATATTTACAAATTGTTGGTATGGATCTCACACATTTTCCTAACGCTGTTTTGCCAAATGTCCCTTCCGTATAGACGTATTTACGTCAAAAATCACGGGTTAAAAAGGGAGAAAAAAGTAAAATAAATACATACAAACAAGCAGGATGCCAAATGGAAGTCATTCATATAAATAATGTGGATTATAATAATAATAATTCCATTGACATAAGTCAATGTTGTGAGTGGGAGGTGAGAAAGGAAAATCGAATTAATATCTAATAAATTAGAAAGTACTGTGGTTGTTATCAAATATGATTGTGAGAGAAACAACTTTAGTGTTCAACTAAAGGTAACCGGAGTTTTCTGTAACTTTTGCCGCGAAGAATTCCTAGAAAAAGCGCAACGCTTTACAAAACGTGATAGGTTAAGTTAGGTTAGGTTAGGTTATGTTAGGTTAGGTTAGGTTAGGTTAGTTAGGTTAAGTTAGGTTATGTTGCTCTATTATTCTGTCAAGTTAAGAAGAACTATGCTAACCTATCAAGTTACTGCATGTGCTTATTCCCACATGTGCCATTAATGGCTCACGACTACACTCTACAATCTAAAACAAGTTATTCAAATGTTTCTATGCGTGTGCTATGCAATTATTTTACGCTTATAAAAGAGCAGTTTATCGATAGTCCTGATCTGAGAGTCTGTTAACTACGTTGAAATTATTTGACCTCCAACACCACCTGACTTCAATTTATTCGAATATTTTTTCTTTCCTTTATTAATCCACTCTGGAGTTTACGACGGTGATTCAGAAGATGGCTGTCTTCTGGGTTGTTCCGCCGTTTGGTGAACGTTTACCGACGTTTCAGAGGCCCTTACTGCCTCCATCATCAGGGCGATACATTTAACATATATTTATTCGCAGAGCATATACGTTTATTTCAAACAAATATGCATAAAATGGCGATAAATCCGTAACGCTGATTTCGAATTGGTTTGGATCACAACCGAGATTTATCTGGGTTACTAAATAATGAGGTAAAAGAAACAGTTTATATAATTTGTTACAGAAGTACCAAGCGATGTTGGAGAATTGAAGTTTTTCATAGCAAAAGAACACAAATTGTCTGACGTCAATTCTAAATCGAAGACGTAGGCTTACGTATGAAACATCCTGCTTTATGTAACTGCGTTTATGTGACAACATAAAAACTTAATCTCTTGTGCGTTGTTTATTATAACTTCAGAACGAAAGTCGCTCCTGCTTCGAATTCTAGAGGTCAGCTATCTTGACCGAGATATATTCGTGATTTTCCTGAGCCCTCTAGATAAATAACTCGATGGTACGTTACATTAAGCCACGACACATTCCAACTTATTATACACTAATTTTCGACTGAAAATTCGACTGTGTTGCTAAACATCTGAAGACGTAAGTGATAACACGGGATGGGTCAGAATAGTTAACCGAGTTTCTTGTTTCTAACATAAGCTAAACAACGTTCGAAATAAATTACACTCTAAAAACTTGTTAAAAGAGGTTGATTCCTTGAAAAAATACGTCTATTATGTTGGGAATTGTTCAATGTCTGAGATACAGACCAACTTGAAGCGTCAATCGATCGAAGAAATGTCATCACGTCAACCTTGGAACGATCTTTTCACGGTATATAAGCTCGTATGTTCTGTTCCCTTTTGCAGAATTGTACGAAGGCAATCCAGGAAGGAGTAGTAGAGCCAAAAGATGGACACGGTTATGCAAAACCCCCGCGTCGGCTCGTACAGCGAAGGCCCGTTTTTGAAATACAAACCGTGCGTCCAAACACCAGTCGTCTCGACGCTGGACGACCTTATCAGAGAGTTGTACGTCGTTTTCAATTCGGATTCCGTGAACGTCGAGTTTGTTCACCAACTCATGTCCATCTACAAGAGCAACCCCGCTGAATGGAAGAGATTCGCCAAATTTGATAGATTCAGGTGATAAACAAGTCTGATCTTTTTGATGTTTCATAAAATTAGATTTCCCTTTAACACCAAATGAAAGACTTTGGGTGATTTGGTGCCCTTGCCAGAAAGTTTTATTGCCCGTAGCAGAAACGTATTCCCCGTTTATTAAAGCGAATAAACCGAGAACATAACCTAAAATATTTCTTCTATACCTTTGTTGACTTACGACACTTTAGCTCTGACAAGCTTGTATACAGAATCTCAAATGTAATTCTTCTGAATATCACGCTCACTTTTAACCGAAAATTATCGATTTTAAAATCATCATTAAACAGTCATTTCGGGGATAATTAAGCTTCAATTATCAGAGTATATACCAGAAAGTTTTGGATAGTTTATTGTAAATCACAATTGATTACCTTAATTATGTGTGGTGATGAACACAAATTATGAAGATTTTCATCACGTGAATTTCTGAATCTTATTCTTTCCTATTTGGTTCAAATATTCTCCTCAGTTTCAGGTCGCGAAACAAAATTTCATACGTAAGACGAAGGCCCAAATTATACTTTCGAATAGGCTTATTTTAATCTTTGGATTCTTCGATGGGAAAAAGGGTGTTACAAGATTCCGAATTCAATGAAAGGAAATATTTTATTTTCAATGCTTTGATCGCTGAATTTTCATTGATCACTTTTGCTGCAAAGGTCACTAGTTTGAGGACGAGTGGGGCAATATCAATACATATATATCTGTTTACTACAGCGCTTTATCACGACGTGCAATCAATCGTCTCTGTTACGACTCAATTCATCTCGGGTTTTGCATCATACTGACGTCAATAAGGACACGTACACTGAACGTGAACGAAGAAACGAGTGGCTGTATCGATGACTGGTGATGGTGATTGTAGATTGGGGACAATAAAAAAAGTTCGAAAGCAGTTTCTTAACCAGCTAAGCGACTGTTAGCTTCTCAAGAAAGACCCTGCCCCATGGCTTGGTACGCTGGCTTATTCATTACAACGCTCGCGGCAATTAGACCTGTTACAAATATCTTGGTCTTGGTCTTCCTAAATCTCGTTTTCCTAGAAATCTATAGCTAAATATTCGTCCTTGTAATCTGTAGTTTGTCGTGCGGTAAAATGTCTTCTCTGTAGGATCTGAGGTTTTCACGGCGATGAGTTTTAAGATTTCTGTCTTCTGGGTTGTAGCAGTGTGTAGTCCGGTGGAAGTTTACCGACGTTTCAGAGGTGGTTACTGCCTCCATCATCAGGGTGATGGATGTCTTCTGGGTTGTAGCGCCGTGTGGTCTGGTAGAAGTTTACCGACGTTTCAGAAGTCCTTGCTGCCTCCATCATCAGGGCGATGGATGTCTTCTGGGTTGTAGCGCCGTGTGGTCTGGTAGAAGTTTACCGACGTTTCAGAAGTCCTTGCTGCCTCCATCATCAGGGAAGACAGCCATCTTCAATGTATTTTATCTTTTCCTAGTATTTCACAAAGTCATCTCTCATTTTGTCATTTCGCTGTCCGCCACTCAATGTTATTCATTTCAGTCCACGTAAACCTTTTTTTGTGTGTGTGTTCTGCAATCTTCTGTTTATCTATCGATATAAGGGTCCCTCATTCTCTCTCACATACTAAACTTGCTTTTGAGGATAAATCGTAAAATCTCAACTGGACTGTCTTACTCATCACAACTACAATGCGTGTTAGATAGACCTTACTGTTCAGAAAATCGAATTTTAAACCTAGGATACTCCAAAATATTGTCTTCCGCACTCTTTAAAATTCATCATTTATGACTCTGCCAACACTAGACTTCATAGGTTATATTACAACGTACGCATCTGAAAAATAGTCATGAAATAGCCCTACAGACAATCAATCAATCAAAGGAGAGAACTATGCCAAAATCAGTATTTTGGCACTGTACCAAATTAGTCTTTACTATGTTTTGACCCCCCCCCCAGTATTATATAACTTTTTCATCGAAAATACAGAACTCAAAATCGCATGAATTTTACGTGTTTCAAATTTATTTTAGTTCAAATCTAACAAATTAATGTTAAAACTCGAAATGCGTTCTACCGCGAACGTCGTCAAACTTTGAGCATCCGTTACTAGCTTTGATGTTCACAATTCTCTGTCATTCTCTTCATACCTACTTTTATCCTTCTCGCAGTTATTTCCCTTCGCGTTTCCTTCTCTTCGTCATTCTTCGTCACACTCATTTTTCGTCTTGTAAGACAAGTAAATTTGAGAGCTCAGTACATAACAGCTGTGCCAGTTCGAACTCCATTTTGCTGTTATTCAACCACTCACATCGCCAGATACACGGAAAAGCTTACAATCACACCAAGAGAGGGACACGAACTAACGGAGGTTCACTGTCAGTTATAAATAACTGTTCCGTTAACAAGAACCATTTACTCAAAGCAAATGAGATCACAACGCATGAAAAACGTTCGGAATGGCGTGTGCATCAAATTTTGCCAAAGACTCGCCAAAACGGCTACGGAAACCTGTGAAATGCTAAAGCAAGCATTTGGGGAGTCCGCAATGGGTCGTGCACCAACTTTTGTGTGGCATTCACGTTTTAAAAATGGCCGAACCTCTGTCGATGATGACGAGCGTTCTGGACGACCATCTTCGAGCACAACGCCCGAAAATGTTACGAAGATCGACGTCGTACCATCAACGACTTGTGCGACATTGTTGGGATAGGCTATGGGACCTGTCAGCTGATTCTAAAGGAAGAACTCCACATGCGACGCAAGGCTCCTGTCTGAGGACCAGAAGCAGAATCGCCTTGACTTCTCGTTTGTCAGGAGCTGAAAGATCTTGCAAGAACCGACCCCAGCTTCCTTTCTAAGCTCCGTGTGACTTCTTCCTCTTCCCAAAGATGAAAATTCAGCTCAAGGGAAGGAGATTTGAGACGATAGAAGAGATTCAGGCAGAATCGCAGATGGGGCTTGACAGGCTGAGAAAGAAAGATTTCCAGGGATGCTTCCAGGCTTAGCAGCGGCGCTGGGGTCGTTGTGTTCACTCCCAGGGGAACTACTTCGAGGGTGATGGATGAATTTAATACCTGAGATAAGTGTACGGGTTTTTATACGCGCAGTCTTGAAACTTTCCGATCGCACCTCGTAGAACATTTTTTGATCACAGATTCGATAGTAACGCAGAGAGACTCAGGATTTCCTTTCCAGAGAACACATAACCTTCATTGATCAGTAAATCTACTGTTTTATTTTACAGAATTTAATCACCATAATAACATTAAATAAAGAATGTAAATTATTAATTATCTTATTATGTAATATCCTCTGTGTTTCTCTTATTTTACTTCAGATCTAATTATCTAGCCTTTTCGTTCTGAAGCACCTTTTTAATCTGTGTTCTTCCTTCACACTGAGTGATCAACTTTTGCATCCATACGAGACACCGGATAAAACTACACCCGTACTGCATTTTAACTCTTTTTTTTTTTTTACATTTTATGGTAAGATAACATTCGATAAAGGACGAACAGAGGTCTAAATCCCAACAACCCAAACGTGGCGCGATGCGCAGTTGGCACGTGTCTCTCTCTCTCTCTACAATGTTCATCCATCACTCGATGGAAATACAAACTGTGGTCTTCTGTCTGGATTATGGTTACCAATGTTAAGGAGGAACGTATCGTAATCTTATTTAACCCCTTAAATTTCATTTTCTATCTCAAAAAAAAAATGTTTCCATTAAAAAGCTCAGTTGGTTAAAGCTTTTTTTCTTCTAACAAACATACGAAACCGATAAACAAACTTTGTATGCAATACGCAGGGTTACTGATTGTCAAATGAAGTGGTATATATAGCCCAGTTACCCCTGTACATCAAAATGTTAATCTTGAGACAGACAGCAGATTTCTCTGTATGAGGCATCGGCCCATGACAAGACCTGTATCATCAAAGGTCAGTATGGAAAGAATAATAATCAGACATTTATGAAAACTTTCACATCATCTACACTCGGCATGATATTTTACCAAGGGCATAAACTGGATTCTGTATCATAACATAAACATCTCGTTCATGTGGGCTGACCGATACTTGAAAAATCTAAAAAAAGTCCAGGCCTATATGATAGAGGATTTTTTTTATAGAATCTGCTATCAGAAAAGCAACAGAATTGCTTGGACTAAAACAACTGTGGGTCTAGCCCTCGTGGCGACAACCAAACTCCGTTACTGATAACAGAACGCCATGGCTTCAGAATTTCACTGCCTGTTGTCGAAATGAATCTTCAGCGCAAGGACGTGAAAGTTAGATGCTATCTCTTGCTACCCGAATACATCATTATCGTCAGACAGGGTTTACAACATTCCAATACGAAGAGAGATCTCAACTTTCGCTCTCATAATTCCCGTGACAATGGAACACAATACGTGTACCAAACGTGTTCAAGTTTAGTTAACAAACAGACAACCTTGAACATGGCCGTCTTCTGGAATGGTATGCCATGTAGTCTCGTAGCAGATTACTGACGATTCATAGGTTCCTGCTGCCTCTATCATCAGTGAGAACCTGTATATCAAATCTAAAACTTCTTGACGATGGTGAAGAGTCATTTGAATAAAAATTTCCTTGGATATTATCCATCATCTAGTAAATATAAAACGTAAAACGACGTTTCGGAGATGGGACTCTATCTCCGTCTTCAGGTTCTGAAGAGTCATTTGAATAAAAATTTCCTTGGATATTATCCATCGTCTAGTAAAATATAAAATATAAAACATTTTATATTTTACTAGACGATGGATAATATCCAACGAATTTTTTATTTAAGTGAGAACCTGACTTTGTAGATAAAAATAATTAATTTATGTACTTCGCGTTATATAAATGCATTTATGACCGAGGAGAAAAGTCAGAAAATTCGTGCTACATACGCTGATTCCGAAATAAGAAATTTTTAAGTATTGTAATCGATTGTACAGTCCGTTGACTGATGGAAGGCGAGTACAACTGTCACTTCCGGTTCCCGGCTGGAACTACACGACTCACCGCCAGGCATCACAAGGTTTCCCCGATACGAGTTAAGTATCGATCTATAAAACGATATAATGAAATTTGTTTTATAGCAGTTCCTGCCGGGAGTAGGAACATGACAGTTGCGTTGAACTTTGTTAAGAACGCACTCTACTATGAAAGTGAAAATACATGAAGATTTGCGTATTTGGGATCGCCGTGGCTCAATCACAATTCAGTCAGTGTTACGACTAAGCTACGAACTGGGCTACAGGGTTCAGTTCACGGCTTGGCAGGAATTCAGAGATAGTAATTTCCAATATCCGAAATATGACCGTGGCCTTGACCCTCGGTAAAGGCAGCAGGGGGAAGAGGTTGAGTGACGACCACCACTTCTGATAGTACAGCTACTATTTATAATACAAACAACTCTTTATCTCTGTACATGTCATAGTCAGGATATAAAAGTGTTTTCTTTCCAGTATTTTGGATAAACATACTGTCTTCAACTTCTGGGCTGCCCTCAAGATACACAGTATTGTTCTCCAAAACATTTTTGTCTACCAACAAGCCTACACAGTGCCAAAACCCAGATCATCATGATGATACATTTTGTTTGTTTTTCAAACGCGCAAAAACAACATTAATTGTAATAATGATGGACTAATTTATAAGTTGGGTACATTCTCTTCTAGATATAGAAGCAGTAATTAAAATGTTTACCAGATAATAATTCATCTCAATAAATTACTTTATGAAGAGGCACGTATCGTATCATAATGGCAGTGTAACAAATTTATATTACTCCACTCCCATAAATTTATAAAAAAATGTCCTAATTTGAATACAACTCAGTACGTAGGTTGGGCTATAGATCCACCCATCACTGTCAGCTATGTAAATTTCACATTCAAAAACAACACTACAATTATTATCCGAAAATGAATCTGCGGTGAATAATAATCAATGATCAACCGACAATTAAACTGATGAACTAACCAACAAAATAACCAACTAGATCTCAGAAGTACAATCTGAAAGTTCAACACCACTAATACCAACATTTGCCACTAAACATTACCATTAATCTATATTCCACACACTTATTTGCCTCAGGGCCATCCTAACCTCTACTGACCAAGCGTCATGCCTTACACAATGCCCAGCTGCCTGCGTGTTACGCTAGCATACCACTAAACTGCAAGCCCCGGAGTGAAGTTAGATCAGCATCCCCTATTCATATACAATAAAGGTTCAAATTATCCTTCCATCTCCTCCTTAGTCTTCTACAGTGACCACTTTACTTTCCGATAAAACTTCTGTATACATTTCATATCTACCCATCATGTTACGTGACCAACCCATTCACTTATATTACCAAAACATGAACAAATAAATATGTAAGTGACACAATCTTAAATCTGTATGCATGGCTTTTATTTCTATTCAGAAGAAAATATTTCAAGGTCATCCGAAGTCGTTCTCTATAGTCATGTCAATTTATAATAAGCGTACCATTACATCAACAAGGCGTAGTTTTATTATCAACCGCATTCTCTTTGTTAGGTACACCCGAAACCTGGTGGATGATGGAAATGGTAAGTTCAACCTGTTGATCTTATGCTGGGGTGAAGGCCATGGTTCTCCAATCCATGACCATGCTGATTCACATTGCTTTATGAAGATTCTGGAGGGATCGCTAAGTGAGGTTAGGTTCACTTGGCCTAAGAGTGACGCAGCTGCCTACAAACAAACTATAAATAGCAGTAATGAATGTAAGAATCTGAAGGAAATCTCTAGGGGAGAACTACACCTCAATGAAGTTGCCTACATCAACGGTAAATAAAACCATGCAGCTTATTCTAACCTATCCAATGGGTACCGGGGTTCTTTCCCGGGGGGTAAAGCACGGCCGGGGTGTGATGCCGAGGTCAAGAATGAGTACGAGCTATACCTCCACTCTTCTCAAGCGCCTACAAGGCGTACAGTGGGATAGCTTTACTTTTTAGATTATTCTAAAGAACACGCCATTTCTCACATAATGCTCGAAATGTTGTAATTAGGATTCCGTCTTACATGTTGATTCTTCTGTGACAGGGAATTATCTCTATAAAAATGCAGTGGCTGCAAATGGCATGCCATACACACCGATTTTCTAGAGAATAAGTCAACTAATTCTAAATTATATATGCTCATAACTAAATGACAGGACGGGTAGATGGTCACAGCTCATTTAATTCTAATTCTAATTCTAAAATGATCTGAGCTACAGTAAAACTCACTGTTTTGAAGCCACGGTGGGTTGAAAGTAGTAAAAGCACTATCTTGCCAACTGCCACTGTGATAAGACCTAACAGTTTTTTGTGCATTGTCCATCATACCCAATATCCCCTCTGAATTTTAATATGAAACTACTGTGACAACGCAAATTCCCGGGAATCGAACCCGAGACCCCAGGATTACAAGGCCAGCGTTCTAACCGCTAGACCACCGTGGCGGTTGTACACACTTATACATGACTGTTATTACTTGCGTGTCACGTAGATATCCGTGACTTAGAAGAATTATAGCTGTTATAACAATTTTAAAAGAATGGCAGTAGATTTTCTTATTAACATAAATGAAATGTATTCTGGGTTGTGATGCCATGCAGTCTTCAGGAGAATGTTGGTAAACACCTCAGAGGAATGTTGGTAACAAGACTGCGTACATCACAACCCAGAAGACCACAAAGGAAAAGTAATGCATGGCTGCTAATTTAAGTACATTATTTGTATTTCTAAACACAGATTTCAATGAACAGAGATAATCACCTATCTTGAATACTGTTTGCAGACTCAATTGGTCTCCACAGAGTAGAGAATCTGAGCAATGTAAACCCTGCTGTCAGTTTGCACCTTTACAGCCCCCCATTTAACAAATGCAAGGTGTTTGATCAGCAGACAGGGCACAGCACATCAACAAAAGTGACATTCTGGTCCAAATTTGGAGAAAAATGGAACAGGGTAAGCATTGGAATTAAAAACAGATTCTCAAATGAGAATCCAGATTTTGGGAGTTTTCTCTTTTCCAGCACAGATTTATAACCACTATTTTTATCTAAATAGAAGACAAAAGAATTTTTCTGAATTCTGAGAAAAGAAGCAAAAGTGCTTCACTGCAACAAATGTTTATGTTACCAGTAGTTCAAATTCGCAGTGTGTAACACAAGTAACGTTACAGTACACAGCGTGAGCAGGCGCGAGTACATATTTTTCACGTCCTGATGCCCTCACGCTACACATCCTCACCAACTCATCCTCCTTGACTAATAATACTTTACTTTATGCAGTTTTCTTCAGGTACCTATCACTTATTTTCTCTTGGGACCAAATATTTTCCTCAGCATCCCATTCTGAAACACTCTCAAAGAGACCAAATCTCACAACCACATTAACAATGGGCAAAATTATGGTTTTGTATATGCCATTTTACATCAGGATACACACTTCAAACTCGAGCGCTTTACCGCAATAGTTCTTTGGTGACTGCCTTGCTGGATGTGCCTTTGGCCACTGCTATCACCAGACTTCCTTCCGTACGGATTTCTCAAAGAAAGAGTTTATTCAAATAATCCAATAAGCTTTAAGAAACTGAAACATAACACTAAACAGGCTGTTGCCAACACTGCCCCCAGAAACCTCATAAGTCCCACAAAACAAACTAAAAAGGGTGGCTGCCCCTCTTCAACAAGGTGGCGGACGTCTTCAGCACCTGCTGTACAGGCGTTCTGTAAGATTATCCTAACAAATATAAAATTAAAAAATTATTAATTTATCTTGTTATATTGATGCCACAAAAGCTTACAAATAATGTTGCAATCAGGGTTGCGTTCTGAACGGAACACCGCATATTTTCAACGATATGACACAGGAATGAACATATGAACAGCGTGTGGTAAAATTGTTAACAGGTGATATTGTACTTCCTAACTGCATAATAACTGGTCCCATTTTTATTTTATAGGACATACAATCATCTCATGCTCCAGAAGATGATTAACATTGGCTTCTACAAGCTGTTCTCCGAAGAATTTCTATCCAACAAATGTGAATATTGGCTGTATTCTGTATAGTGTTTCATTATATAAGATTTGAGGTTTTCACAGCGGTGAGTATGAAGATTTCTGTCTTCTGGGTTGTTGCGCCGTGTGGTATGGTAGATGTTTACCAATGTTTCAGAGACGGAGGCAGTATGACCTCTGAAACGATGGTAAACATCGACCAGACTACACGGCGCAACAACACAGAAGACAGAAATCTGTTTCATTATAGATGAAATGAAGTGAAACATAGGAACCTCTATGGATACATGATGAGCTAGTTTTTTTTATTCTGCAAGTATTTCACCTGGAAAGAGTTGCTGTAAGAGTCTTTATCTAAGTCACTAGATTAATGCTCACAAAATCCATAAGTTGGAAATATTAATGCATATATACAGATTACAGAAGTACTGAAACATTTTGTAAATTAAAACAATCTCATCTTTTGTTCTTTGTAAGATTTTTCTTCGCAGTCCCAAGTGATGTGAGATTTTCATAAGAGTGAAAATAAGGATTGTGGTCTTCTGGGTTACGACACTTTCATGTATCAATTTAGGTTGTGAAATGTTAAGTCTAAAAAGCATGTAGATTTATTGACATTTATAAGTTTACCTGCACCAGATACAGCTTAAAACAAATGGCAACTTTACAGCTGCTCGCATAGTGACGTCTGATATACAATTGCTGACAGGTTTCTGGATATATTTCCATCCTGTATGTCTGAAGGTTGCCAGGAGACTGTATATTGTGTAATGCATAAAATATTTCATCACTAGATGTGAGATGCCACATTCTTTCATTCTTTTGAACCAGAAATTAGTGATAAGTTAAGAATTATTTCATCAGAATAATTATAATCAAGTGTTTTCTTTTCCTGTAGTATACAAACTTTCATGTGTCAGTTAAGTGTTTTGCTGTTTATGTAGTTATTAATAATGCACGTATAACATTAATTTAAAATAGAGCTATATACAGATATAAGCCTTATATAAGAGTTTAATAAAGATGTGAGATATAAAGAAATAAGCAATTTATTTATTTCAGTAGTACTTCTTAAGTCCCAATCCAACCATTCATCCATAAGGCATTCGAGAAAAGGATGGAAGGATCCTGTTCATATGGACCTGTCGTCAGACAGAACACTAAATAAATAATAAGATGGGGTGGTCTAGCGGTTAGAACGCTGGGCTTGTAATCCTGGGGTCTCGGGTTCGAATTTATAACTTGTGTTGGGCAAGGCCGTGGTCTAGGCAACCCGGAGTTTTCCTCCGTGGCATCCCAACAATTAATCCATTCACACACAGAAGAAGGCAATGGCAAACCACTTCTGGATCATCTGCCAAGAACGTATATGAACAGGTCCCAGTCCGAGAAAAGGATGGAAGGATCCTGTTCATATGGACCTGTCGTCAGACAGAACACTAAATAAATAAATATAATAAATAAGTTGATAACGAGAAAAATTAAAATAGATTCTGATATGTACGGGTGTGAAACGTGGTCTCCCACATTATGGGTAAAACACAAGGTGAAGGAAGTTTCGAAAAGCGACAGTCAGAGCAATAGAGTCACGACCAGAATATTAATGAAAGAAGAAGATCCTCTTTGATGAATTTCATTGTCACTTCGTGCAATGACTTCCCATTTTTAATTGCAATTACTTTAGTACAGTCCTGGACAAATACTGATGTAACAGATTTGTTTAAGGGAGGAAAGGTTGTTATCGTATTCAACCCAGGCACCCCCAGACATGTTTTACTGTACAATGAGTTAAATTCAGATATCAATTATATTCTTGCAGTGTTCAGTGCAATCAGCTGGAAAAACCATGACTCTGATATGACACATCCATCAATAACGTCAAAAGTAGCGATCACCAGTTTTTTCCTCTGAGATCACCAGATTTCAACTTGTTCACAGATGTTAATTTATCGTGTTTATTGCAAGTGCCCATAAGGTCAAAAGACCAACATAACATGTCTCTAAACTGAATTTACATCAGTAAAAAGTTATTAATTTCCTTAATGCATGAAATACTCGATTTATCAAGTACGTTTTACCAGCAACTTTCAACATATGATCCCATAGCTATTTTTAGATTTTAACAAGAATAATATTCAGGTCCCATCATTAATGCTGTCAGTAAATGATTCTTTAATATGTGGATCAGTAAATAATAAAAACTAATGACAGTTATTGCACTGATTTCTTCACAGCTGAAGACTGACAAGATAACTGATATCACTGTTTTTAGTACTGTACTGCCCTATTTTATGTTACAGGTCCAGATTTTTTGTCTACTTCATAATGTTTAGATATGTGTATGGTCTATCCACAAACAAAATTTCACAATCGTAGGTCCAGCAGTTCATTATCAACATCAAGACACAAGTATGAATTTTATGCAGAACTATGTCATAATTTTTATATTCTTTCAAAAATGTACAATGGAAAATTGGTGTAAATTTTTTAAGATCTATTATGACACAAAATGTCTGGGCCCTACAAATAGCAGTGCTCCCCCACTCCAGAAGTTGGCATGCATGTTAATAAAATCTTAATAATTAACATACTCAGTTTCTCTTCATCTCCATCATTCTCTTTCCTGATTCTACTCTTTGTTTAGTAAACATAGCTTTCACATTTGCTGAAAATCAACCATTTCTCTGAGTGAACATAATAAATACAATAAAATTTTCTACACACATGCATATTTTATTGCAGTTTCTGTCTTTGGATCTAAACACCTTCATTCTTAAAATTCATCCTTGTTCCTCCTTATTCCCTATCCTCTAATTTTTCAGTATATAGCTGGAGAATGTGGAGCATTTCAAGTACTTGGGAAGCATAGTCACGACGGACGCCCTATGCACCAAGGAAGTAAAAGCAAGGATAGCCATGGCCAAGGCAGCTTTCGTCAAGAAGAGGATACTTCTCACTAGCAAGTTGGGCTTGGAGATGAAGAAGGAACTAGTGAAGTAATGCGTATGAAGTGTCGCGCTGTATGGAGCAGAGACTTGGACACTCAGGAAGAAGGAACAGAAATACCTGGAGAGTTTCGAAATGTGGTGTTGGAGAAGAATAGAGAAGATCAGGTGGACGGATCGAGTGACCAACGAAGAAGTATTGAGGAGAGTCAACGAGCAAAGAAGCATTCTGCAGGCGATTACACGAAGGAAAGCTAACAACTGGCTGGGACATATTATGAGAAGGAAGGGGTTACTGAGTGACATCATCGAAGGCCAGGTTGAAGGAAAGAGAGGACGAGGAAGAAGATTGATACAGCTAACCGACGACCTTAAACAAGGAAAGAAGATGACGTTCCAGGAATTAAAGCGAGAAGCCGAGAATAGGGACAACTGGAGAGCTATTTTTGGGCAGAGCAATGGACCTGTCGTAAGACAGAACACTTAATAAAAAATAATAATACAAAATGTTACCACTGAAGATGGTCTCATGAGGTTGAAACACGTTTGACAAATTGAAGTGTAAACAGTGATAAAAGTGGGTGGCTAGCAACTTCACACCTGTTCCCTCCACGTTCAACATCTCGACAGTTCGTCTCCAGGTGAAGTTCGCGTATTCACATTTGATGATGACGTGGCTTTAACTGCGTAACATTTAAATCTTTTTGGATACTATTCATACTCGACGCCTTGGGTAAGTTAAAATCTCACCTTTAGATTATATATTCCTTCTTTTTTCCCATTTGCATCTGAGCAATGACAGGCGGAAGAGAGGACTGAACGCCTTTGGAGAATCTACGCACTCCAAATAGGATTAAACTTTTCTTTTTTCCCTCGTAGATTCCCAAGGCTCTATTTGCTACTTTTCCGCTGTATGGTCAGATCTTGAATGCAGTTGGGCGATCGACCCACGAAGTCTAATTTGTTAAACTACTGCAGGAATCCTCACGCCCTCCCACGTGTAGGTTTAAAATTGTTTTCGGACCCTGAGAGTAAAAATAACACTTTCCAATGGAAGGGCCTCGGTGAGGTGAGGTGGGGTGGGTGAATCGGTGTGCCAGCCGGCATCATCGAATTAGCATTTGTTTCTTAGTTACGGGCGTTTTGGTAGTGCATTACACCGACCCTCCTGCGCTTTCGGAATGGCGTGTGCATCAAATTTTGCCAAAGCCTCGCCAAAACGGCTACGGAAACCTATGAAATGCTAAAGCAAGCATTTGGGGAGTCCGCAATGGGTCGTGCACAAACTTTTGTGTGGCATTCACGTTTTAAAAATGGCCGAACCTCTGTCGATGATGACGAGCGTTCTGGACGACCATCTTCGAGCACAACGCCCGAAACTGTTACGAAGATCGACGTCGTACCATCAACGACTTGTGCGACATTGTTGGGATAGGCTATGGGACCTGTCAGCTGATTCTAAAGGAAGAACTCCACATGCGACGCATCGCAGCCAAGTTTGTGCCAAGGTTCCTGTCTGAGGACCAGAAGCAGAATCGACATCGACTTCTCGTTTGTCAGGAGCTGAAAGATCTTGCAAGAACCGACCCCAACTTCCTTTCTAAGCTCTGTGTGACTTCTTCCTCTTCCCAAAGATGAAATTCAGCTAAAGGGAAGGAGATTTGAGGCGATAGAAGAGATTCAGGCAGAATCGCAGATGGTGCTTGACAGGCTGACAAAGAAAGATTTCCAGGGATGCTTCCAGGCTTGGCAGCGGCGCTGGGATCGTTGTGTTCACTCCCAGGGGAACTACTTCGAGGGTGATGGATGAATTTAATACCTGAGATAAGTGTACGGGTTTTTATACGCGGTCTTGAAACTTTCCGATCGCACCTCGTACATGCAGGTTTTCTCAGTAACCATAAATTCTGCTGTCATTATTCTACATTACTACTATACATAACTGTGTTACTTGCTTATCATCAGGTTTGTAATAGGCAGATTGTGTTGTGTAATATACACTGACATGTGTTTTACAGGAAGGAAATTAAGGTTCATGGGGTTTCCCTTATCTATTTTTTAACGCATTTTCCTGCTATGTCCTTGAAACACTGCAAGATAACATTTCTCTATATCTTCTTCCACTTCTAACAAAACATAAATTGTTATAACATAAACACAGATTTCTGTTCTGTAGGATATGAGAATGTATGTGAGACACAAAGGAAAACTGTTAGTCTACTTTATTTGAAGTACTGTAATCAGTCAGTATAGTGACTAGGTGGGGACTGGATGACATGGGTTTGATCACCAAAAGGGACAGAAGATTTTTCCTCTAGTCTCTGCATCCAGGCCAGTTCTGGGGCCCATCCAGCCTCTGGTCCAAAACTGATCCTAAGACCTCTCAACATTCAAAATGCCACAGGCAGAAAGCCACCAATTCTTCTCTGGACTATGACCTCAGCCCACACACAGATAACAATTTTCTTTCCAGAAGAATAACACTGCAAATTAAAGCTAACTGCAAAAACTACATTACACAATTCTTAAGGCAGTTCTGGTTAATACAGTGAACATGGTGTTCTAACAGCAGCCATTTTTATATTTGGATCTATGACTCCTATTGATCAGTTGGGTATGTATGTAGGATTGTTCAGAAACCACATATTCCAGTGCTTATTCCATACAACTGTTTATTCTTGTACAAAACTGTGGTAACTGCATATGGAATTTCTAGGATTCAGATTTCTAGAGCATAGAGGCAAATAAGTTTCTTGAGATATTTCTCACCTCCTTACAAGACATTTTCCTAAATATGAAGAGCACTGAGAACTACAATTGGTTTACCAAGTCAGCAAACCATTATAAATCAGAAAACACTACATAAGTACAATTTATCTCTGTACAAGTTCTTCCAGTTTTCATAAAAATTGATTATGAGAATGTCTGTGAGAAGCAGCAACGAAAACTATAAATTGTTTAATTTTTACCGTCTAATCACAATAAAATATTTTATTAAATATTAAAATATTATTA